TCTCTCTCTCTCTCTCTCTCTCTCTCTCTCTCTCTCTCTCTAGATATCTTCAAGATCAGCTGATGGACCCAATATCCCTGGAGATGAACATGAAGATGAACTCCCCCAACAGTACCGAGACAAGCAGCGCCCCCTCGGGCGCCGCAGGCTCGTCTTCCTCCTCCGGGACGATCCTGAGCCGGTACGAGAACCAGAAGCGGCGGGACTGGAACACGTTCGGGCAGTACCTCCAGAACCACAGGCCGCCGCTGTCCCTGGGTCGGTGCAGCGGGGCCCACGTGCTGGAGTTCCTGCGGTACCTCGACCAGTTCGGGAAGACCAAAGTCCACAACCCGCTCTGCACCTTCTTCGGGCACCCGAACCCGCCCGCCCCCTGCCCCTGCCCGCTCCGCCAGGCCTGGGGCAGCCTCGACGCCCTCGTCGGCCGCCTCCGCGCAGCCTACGAGGAGAACGGCGGCCGCCCCGAGGCCAACCCGTTCGGGGCAAGCGCCGTCCGCCTATACCTCCGGGAGATCCGAGACTCCCAGTCCAAGGCGAGGGGTGTCAGCTATGAGAAGAAGAAGCGCAAGAGGCCGCCGTCGGTCGCCACTGCCTTGCCGCCGTCAGGTTGAGCAAGTCATGTGTATTTGTTTCTCATTATATATCTATCTAACTATTATTATATAGCAGTTGGCCAGATTGTTGTTATGTATCTTTTTTAAAAAAGGGCAAAAAGACCAAGGACAATACTATGGTAAGAATTTAAACAATTTTCGTATATTTTGTGATGATATATTATTTACCAACATCATGTATGCGCTTGTTTCGGGTGTTGTAGTGAAATAAAATCAAAGTCCTTCGGTTAATTCCTCCTTTTTCTTTCTCGTAAGCTCTGTTTGGTAACCAATACTGTACCTAGAAATTACCTGTGTGATTTCCCAATATATTATGAGGAAATGCTACGGTCCTGTTACACTGTCGGGGTTGTAACCGTTAGATCATCATGTAACCGTCGGAGATAGTTGATCTAATAGTTACAAATTCCGATGGAATAATTCTGTAACGGAACGTCACAATGTAATGTGTTTATACATGCTTGTATAACTCTTTGAGGTGATGCTAATTATGGAAGTGGCAGTTTTCTTGGTATTGGTGGTGTGCATTTGTTACTGGATTTGTTGTCTGAAAAAGCGACAAGCAATAGATTTGCACATCGTGTATTGTATTTTTTATTTTTTTTTAACACAAAAATACTTTCAGTGCTTTTTGAACTTGAAGTGAGAGACTTGCCACTCATCTGGATATGAAGATTAAAACGAAAAAAAAAAGTAACTTACTTTGCAAACATTACAGGTCAGCATTGTCTCGCACTAAATTTTTGTCACCTGTTTGTGCAAGGCAAAGTACTTCGATTAGACATTACAATTAATATTTCAATACATATTGTACCAAAAAAAAAAATAATAATAATAATATTTCAATACATAGATATGTTAAAATCCAAATATATATAGAAAGAAAATATCTATTTTCACCTTGAAATATAACTAGTACGGAGCCCGTGCGATGCACAGGGTGTGGATATTCACCTTGAAATATAACTAGTACGGAGCCCGTGCGATGCACATGGTGCACAATTTTAAGGTCATTTATCCATTCTTATAATTATATAAATGAATAAAAAAAAATGTAGGGGATATATAATATAGTACGTGACCTGTGATAGGTCAAAATATGAACACGGGTGATGCACGGAGTGCACAATTTTAAGGTCATTTATTAGTGCATGCCCCGTGCGATGCACGTGATACATATAATAAATCAATTATTTCTATAGGACTTGTACTTCTAGACAAAAAAACAATAGGCTTGGATCATCCATATTTCACATCTTTTAATAAGTGGCGGTTATTTAAGCCAAAAAATTAACATGTTAATTAATATATAATTCCGCTAACACGTCATATTAATATTTATTTGATTTTAGAATACATATTTATTCATTGATATAGGAAAAAATAAAAATTTTATTAATTATTGTTCACCATATAATACTCCATTATTATTTTATTATAAAATTTACAGTCATATAATGTAATTATTATTATTTATAAAAGTTATAGAAGGAGTCTTCTTTATGTAATGAAATTTAAAATAAAATTTTGAGTATAAATGTTTACAAAATACACACACATGTTTTTTAGAATTCAATTTTCTCATAATAATTCTTTTTTTTAAAAAAAAAAATGATTTAGCAATTGCCAAAAAATAAATCCCTTACATAATCAAGAGATTTTTTTTAATTTTCATCATAAGGCTTTATAGTTTATTTATCATACTATGCAATAGAAAAATATTTTACAATAAATTCATTTTTGAAACATAACAAAAAAAAAGTGATAAAAACACTATCATAGTTGACAATAATATACAAATAAATAACATGTCGAAATTTTTAAAGAACAACTATAATTTTATTATCGTCAATAAAATCATTTAATGATATGATCATTATCTTTTAAATAATAAATAATATTAATTTCTTAAAAAAAATATTAGTGTTATATAATTAAATAAAGGTTAAAAAATATTACTTGACAAATATTAATTATAATGGATATCAGTAAAATCATTGCATAAATTATTTAAGAAAAAAATCTTGAAGATCATATTTAGATAGTAAATGTAAATATGTAAGCATTTAATGCATATAGTAAAAAAATTCCAAATAAAGTATGCATTAAATGTGTGTTGACTTTTCTTGCTACTGTTTTTGGTAAATAGGTTGGCTTTTAATATATATATA